AGAGAGAGAGAGAGATTTTAAAGGGATGCGGATGACAGCCTGAAATCTAGTCAGTTTCAAAAACAGAATTAAAAGCAGTGTCGGGTCCTATCCTGGCCCCTCCATCCTTTTGACAATTGGGCCGTTGTACAGTTGCTTTGGCATATTCCTTAAAATCGTGTTCTCTTGGTGCTGTGTGAGACCCACACCAACTGCTAAGGGAAACAGCACAACTGACTTCACAGCAGGTTGTGTACAGTTCAGAAGAACAGGCGAAAAGAACTTCCTCTAATATCTTTCATATACCGTAAGCTTAGGTGGTACTTCTACAGGAGGCAAGACAGGTGTGTGGTCTATTTAAGTACCAGCTGGAAGTAACCCCCGCTTTTGTACTCTTTTGCCGGCTGCTTGGTGTTCCGGGGGGTGGGAGATGTGGGAAGTCTATCCATCTGCTCTGCACCTTGGGATGATAAATGTCCTAATCTCATTCTTGGCAGGTCCCCAGCATCCGGGAAAGAGATCCCCCGGCCTTGGGTCTTTCTGCCCCAGCACTACTGGCTTTTCCTGTGCCTGCTTTTCCTAGGGCTTACATGCCTGGTTCTGATGTGGATTCTGGAGCTGCAGAACCAGCAGCCAGCACCACCCCCAAACTCCTAGCATGAAAGAGGAAGAGGACTCAGCCCGAGAGACACAGCATGCTACCCCAGGCTTACTTTTAAAAATAAAATAATAAAAACAGGAGGGGGAAAGGGGTTTAGATGTTTGGGGAAACACAAACCTCCCTCCTACAAGCCCAAGGTGGCTGCAGGAGGCTTAGTGATGTGAAAGGAGCTGTGGGTGCCCCGAGGAGCTATGGGGCTATTGCCCTAACTTGTACCCATGCCAGCTGGGCTCAGCAGTACCAGATTGTCCCTTGTCAGCCTAATCTTGGTCTGGTGCAAGGGTCCCTTGTACTAGGATGGGCTAAGGGCGTGTGTGATAGTGGAGGGGTGGGAGGCTGTGGGTGCCTCCACCAACTCCTGTCCTCTTCTCCTTGCCCTTCTTGCATAGCTGCAGGTACTGCTGCCTCCTCCACTTTTGCTTATACACTCTGGGTGAGGGGGATTCTCGCTTCCTCTCAATGGGGTGGAGGGGGGGGAAGGAAGAGGGAGAAGAGAGACAGGTGCAAGGGCGATGCTTTAACATATGGACTCCTGAACAAACAGATGTGCTGCCTTTAGTTCTCTTTGGAGCTCTTGTTTGGTTGCTATTACAATGTTCAGGTGGATTTGCAGAAGGGTCCCATACTTGTAACCAAGCAGCTGAAGGCTGCAGGTGTAAGGTTTGTACACATCAGCTGCTTGCTTAGTGGTATGCTCTGCCCTCTACATCTGTCCAGGAGCTCCCCACTACCATATTTGACCCCAGGGCTGAGCTGCTGGAAGAACCAATGTTATTTTGGCAGCACCCAGGGAGGTACTGGGTGCATCGCCCAGAGACAAATGCTCTCCCTCTCCTGCCGCTTACAATTGACTAATCAGTGGGGTGGGCATTAAAGGGGGCATTTTCTCTAGCTGCTTGTGGAGTTAGGGGAAACCCCAGCCAGGAAATTAATGAGATGCCCAGGCTTTGTCTGTCTCAGCCCCAGAGCTAGTGGCTGGCTCAGTACACCCCAAGCCCTTGCACTCTGCTCTCCCTGCCTTTGCTATGGTCATAAAGAGGAGATCTCAGATCACCTGATTTGCCAGCCAGCCTCCCCTCTGTGATTCCACTCCCCGGTGATTGCCCACACCTGCGGGAGGTTACCCGCCTCCCCGCTGCCGGGCCGGTGGCAGCTCCGGGGCCGAGGAAGGTTTGCCCTGCTGGGGTGGAAGGTCTAATGGAGCCCAGCAGAGGATTAGTCGGGGACAGATTTATCCACAAGCTGTAAGTCTATTTCCTGGCCGTGCATTCTTTATCTCTGAGAAACACGTGGCGGGATCTCCCCCGGGGACGGGTCAGATATTCAGAAACACACACAGCCGAGTCCTACACAAATATAACACACCTCCTCCCCTCCCCCCGTAACCTATGCAAATAAGCAGACAAAGGAAGAGTTCCTGCCCACTCCCCCGGGTCTGTAAACAACCGCCTTAAAGTTTGTGCACATAAAAACCCAGAGGCGCTGCTGGAGGCAGGGCCAGGAGCTCGGGGAATAGGCAACCCCCCTGCTGCTTTGCAGCGCCGTTTCTGTAATGAAGCCCTAATGAGCACGGTGTGTGGGGCCCACAGGACTTGGTGATGCTTGTTAAGTTGGGGGGGAGGGGGCCGGACAGAGACATAAATGTATCTGTGTTTTACAACCAGATGGTCCATCTCCCTTCTGCCAAAGCGTCTAAGCCGGTGGCTCTCAACCTTTCCAGACAAGTGTACCCCCTTCAGGAGTCTGATTTGTCTTGTGTACCCCCAAGTTTCACCTCACTTAAAAATAACTTGCTTACAAAACTGGACATAAAAATACAAGTGTCACAGCCACTAGTACTGAGAAATGGCTGACTTCCTCATGTTTACCATATAATTATAAAATATATCCATTAGACTATAAATATTGTACTTACATTTCAGTGTATAGTATACAGAGCAGTATAAACAAGTCATTGTCTGTATGATATTGTTGTTTGTGCTGACTTCACTAGTGGTTTTCATGTAGCCTGTTGTAAAACGAGGCAACTATCGAGATGAGTTGATGTCCCCCCTGGAAGACCGCTGCGTACCCAAGGGGTACGTGTACTGGTGGTTGAGAACCACTGGTCTAAACTCGTTAAATGAACACCAGCCAGGAGCGGGGAGGGCTGTGGAAGTGTGGGGCAGACAGAACACCAGGCTGGCAGTCAGTACGGCTGTGTTTTGTGAGCCGTTGGGCACGCGGCTGCCCCTTGCTGTGCCTCTGTTTCCCCTCCCAGCTTTTGACCCCATTATCCATTTGGAACAGAAGCTCTTTGGGGAAGGGGTGTCTGATCCCGGTTGGAGCCCTCTGGTGCTACTGTAATATAATAATAAAGGAAGGCAGGCTTTAAGGAGGGATGTGAAAGGGGGGTGCATGGCAGGGGAGAGGTCAGGAATCAGGCTAGGCAGAGCAGGGAGGCCAGAGTAAGAGAGATGAAGGATGGAGCTGGGAGGAGGTAGCTGGGGGATGCTAGCGGGTCTCTGGCCCCTAGGAAATACCATGCGCCAAAGCTGTGCTTGCTGGTACACCCTTGGCCTCACCCGCGAGGAGGCATGTGGGGTACCACATTGGATGGTGCCCTGCACCCTGCCCAGAATCACCCCCTTTCTGTGGTCTGCCTGGCTGGTGGGTGCCTCATTACATGTGGCATATGGCTGCCCTCTTCTTAGCTACTGCCTGATCCCACAACATGCGATAGAGGGGGTGCCTATGGGCCTCAGCTGGGCTGCTCCCAGCCTCCCATTGAGTTCAACAGGGCCAGTCCCGGCCCCACAGCGAGGGGAGAGGGCTTGAGAGCACCACAACAAAGGGGTCTCTATGAGGTCTCAGATGGATAAAACCCCATGGTATAGGCAGGGGAGCAGCTCCCCAGTACAAGGGGGTGTCTGCCCTTGTGTGTGAATGAGGGCGATGGTGCCTGTAGCAGACTTTCCCTGAAGCCAAAGGGGTTGTAACTCCCTGGCTTGACATGGTGTCCATCACAGACAGGGTTGACAGTTTGGTTCAATGGCTCTCAGCATCCCCACTCTACACATGGATCCTGCACCCCTACCCGAAGCAGCATCCTGGGCACTGGGCTTTGCATGGTCTCATTTGCCTCCTACAGGCGGGGCACCCTGACAGGGCCGGCTCCAGGCACCAGCTTAACAAGCAGGTGCTTGGGGCGGCCAAGGGAGAGGGGCGGCACCTGCGGCAATTCGGGGGCAGCAGGTCCCTCACTCCCTCTAGGAGCGAAGGACCTGCCACTGAACTGCCGCCGCCGATCGCGGCTTTTTTTTTTTTGCTTGGGGCGGCAGAAATGCTGGATCCAGCCCTGCACCCTGTTCCCCCAGGGGGCCCTGGTCCCCTCCCCCCGGGACCCTCACCACTCCCAGGGCCGATGGAGCTGTGGTATCGACACCCCCACAGTGAACACGTGAGGTGGGGGTATCCTTGGAGCCTTGTACAAAGTACATTAACATTGACGGGGGCTAACTTAAAGGGCAGAGGGCTAGAGCAGGGGCCTGGGAGTCGGACTCCTGGGTTCTATGCCCAGCTCAGGGAGGAAGCGGTGGCTAATTGAGAAGTCTGAGTGCCCAGCTGGGACTGGAAGTAGCCAGATATTTTCAAACACAACATTTTTCTTCCCCACCCCAAACAATTGCCTCAAAAAAGACAAAAAAAA